GACTTGAAACATTAACTCTGATTTTTTTCTTCACAGATGCTGCCAGACCTGCTGAGCTTTTCCAGCAACTTCTGTTTTTGTTCTCAATTAAACATACATATTTATTACAGCAATCTCCCCAGTAACAGGTACACATGGGGACTGGGGAGTTCTGGTTAGCTGAATCGGCAGGTTGCTTGAGAAATAGTGGCACTGGGAGAACTTGACTAGTCATTGGCACAAGGAGAATGGACATTTTAAAAGCGAACAGCCAGGACTGCTCATAAATACCAGTATACCTGGCTGTGATAGTGCCGGTGTTGGATTGGGGTGGACAAGGTCAGAAATCAATCAACACCAAGTTATAGTTCACCAGGTTTATTTGAAAACACGTGCTTCTGGAGCCGCTCTCCTTCTTCAGGTGTTAGTGAGAGAGGTAGTATCAGAAAAAGATCAAAGGGTCACAACACTGATCAGGACATATTAAACAAGCCTGAGATGCAGTTAAATCTTTAATCAGTTAGAAGGTTTTAATTGATTAATATGTATATATAAATCCCCGAACTCCTTTTAAGTCACTGCCCTGAGAGAACTAAGGTTTTATCAGTGTAAAGAAGTCACCTCCTTTAGTTCTCTCAGGATATTGAAGTCAGATCAGCCACAATCCTATTGAACGGCAGAGCAGGCTTGAAAGTCCGAATGATCTACTTCTGTTCCTATTTCTTATGGTCTTATTCTGACTTTATTGATGATATAAGTCTTGAACTAGCTTTAATGTAGCATTTGATTCATTGTTCCCTTTCAATTGCTGGTATGAGTAAAGTCTCAGTTATCCAGACTCCAAGCATCTGGAATTCTCATGCAACCAGCATCCAAGATTAAAAAGGGGAAGTCCTGATGCTTGGAATCTGGATAACGGAGATTTTACTGTATTTGCTTTATTTGTATTTTGAAGGCAGTTCACCAATGTGAGCTCAGATTCTCTGTGATCACCACACCAAAAATCTCTCAAAACTATCCTTTCAATTTGCAAATTATTTCTACCTCAAAAAAGCCAGCATTTCTTTAAAATGCATAAACTGTATAAATGTAGAATTAGAATTGTATCTAATGGTTAGTGGTGCAGCAGTAGTAACTCTTTAAGGGGAAGGTGATGGAGGAGTGCTGGTGGGGGCCACTGAAATCAGACGCATGTTACTCAACTGAGGAAAAATAAATCAGTGTAAAGAAAATGTGAACACAGAATGTTACCAGATTGTATTCATAAAATCAATCAGATCACTATGGAAATACGTAATGAATCTTTGAGTAACAGACTATCTCTGGAAATGATGTTCAGTGTGGTTCACTCTGCAAAGACTTATGGTCTTATTACCTCGGTATATCCCTCCCTCCAGGGTCTCGGTTCGCACAGTGAATCCAAATAATCGTCCCACATGCAGAATGCCTTGCTTTTTCGTCCTCTCTCACACTAATCTGTGCAAATACAGAGAGACCCCAGCTTTGATTTCCTCTTATTGAATAGTAACTTGCCTTAATGATCCCAACTGTGTCTCTGGTTGCTTTATCATCACATTAATTTATTTCCCCATGTTTGGTTTTCTTTTGGTGGGCTACTTAATACCAGCTCAGATACAGCAATGAGGCCGCAAACTTGTCGAGAACCTGTGGATTACACAATGAGTTTCCTTGAAAGTTGCTTACTTAGTGGTCATTTCCAATTAAAATCTGAAAGGAGCAGGAAGTGTATGCGAGGAATGAGGTTGACAGCCAACCACTGACTATGGACAACTACAAACCTTCACAAAGAGGGGTTTATTGTTTTTAAAAAAATGTGGCATGTGCCTACAATCACATTGCATTTCATTACAATTTGTCTGATCAACATGAGCAGCCCAGCCTTTAACCAAGACATCCACCTACAGACTCATCCAGTTAATGAGAGTTTACTGAAAGGCTTAACAACCATAACAATGCGATAGGTGTGCTGATCTGGCAGAGACCACAGACATTTCAAACAATACATCCAAACAGAGCACACGTCTATATTTAATATAAGTCATTTTCTTCTGCGCTCCCCCCACCCTACTCCATTAATTGGGCAGCAACTTGGTTCAATGCCAGATGGTCATCTTCCTCCAACACTGGACACCAGTTTGCTTAGAAATAAAATATCTATCCAACCTCTATACATGCAGTCCGCAGATAAGTAAAACTCATCTGTTTGATCTGTAGAGTGGGCTCACCAAATGTACTGTAGTCAGGACAGGTGACGTTATCCGGGGCTCGGATGCTACAGCTAGCTGTAGTTCAACATTCCAAGACTTCAACAAACCACTGTTAAAAATGCCTGAATACAGAAGAGAACAGAGGAGGTATATTGATTCCACTGGGCCGGATGGATGGAAGTACACAATCTTGTATGTACATGGTTGCACTACATTCACCAGCTCCAAGTAGAGTTATTGATAAATGATGATCACAGTGGCATGCGATTGCCTTCGATGCTGATCTTTACTGCCCTCGATGACTTGGTCATTTTCTTGATATCTTGAAATCGACGCATTTGTTTGTCAAGACGATTCAATGTCTTCTTAACTGATCCCTGGCACAAAAAGAACAAAACATAAAACCAATAAGCAGCTGTCAACATTGGACAAGTACATGGATAATAACTGAAGTTTTTTTTTTAACATGTAAAACATAAGGCCCTTCAAGTTCTCTCCTGTATTCTTAACCGACTTGGAGAATTATTATATAATTTCAATGATCTATTGTGTCGCTGTGTGTATGTCTCATTGAATTTGAATGTGGGTGAGGTTTTCAAAGTCACAAGTGGGCTGATTAGAATAGATAAGAACTCATTCAACTTAGAATTGTGACTTTTCATCTTCCAAAATCCAAATGGAAAAAATGGCAATTAAAGCAACCAGTTTTCATTAACTTTTGAAAAAGAGCTTTGTTTAGATGATGCCAAACTCCATGTTTCGCTGAAGTGCAATACCCCAAAATTTTTAAAACATATCTTGATAATTCAGATGCCTTAAACTGACAGTTAGAGCTGGAGTAGTTCCACTATATCAATGACTAAAGGCATCATCTACTGTGCTGAGCAGCCAAAGAGAACAGGAAAAATCTCAGATCAAATTGTGAGCTGCACTGAGTTGAAAAATCTCAGCTTGGGTTGCAATACAATTGGCTTTAGTGTTCCTTGGCAGGCAAAAAGGTGGGACCTCAGTCAACGCTCCCGGTGGTTATGTAGTGATTCCTGCAATAAACTGCATACCAGCACCCTATCACGAGAAGACTGGTTTGGTTGTGATTTTCTCCTCTCACCAAGTTCAACAGCTTTCCAGTATTCAAAAAGTAACAGGACAATTGATGCTTGCAGAACCCAATGCCAGCATAAGTGATCGTGCTCAAGAAAAAAAGTCGTGAGTCAAACTGAGGAGAAAGTTGTGAAGAAATAATAAGATGTAACAAAGCTGAACTCAGCATGAGACTGCAATTCAGTGTTTGACTGAGATTGGCCTGAATAAAACCAAACTTAATGAGATTTGGGGGAAAACTCCATCAGCTGGAAGCATAACTAATGCAAATGAAGGTTGCTAAGCTTGTTGGAAAGCCAATCTTGGAAAGCCAATCATGTTAGTCCCACGATATCACTGCAGGAACTCCTCAGGGTAGATATTTTCTGATCAACCTATTCAAAGATGTTATTACACACCTTTGAAGCAGGTGGAACTTGAACGTGGGACTCTTAGTCCAGAGGTAGGGACACTACCACTGCACAAGAATGTGTCACGCCTCAGGATGGGTATGTAACTTGGGTCTCTTGGCTCAGAGATAGGGTCATTACCACTATGCCATAACAGCCCCTTACTCCTCAGGGTATTGAATTAGGCCTAACCATTTTCAGCTGCTTCAACAATAAGCTTCTCTCCACATAATGTGTGAAGTGGAGATGTTTGCACAATGTTCAGCACCATTCATGACTCCTCAGGTGTTGAAGCAGTCCATGTCTATATGCAGCAAGATCTGGAAAACATTTAGGCTTGGGAATGGTACGTGGCAAGTAAGATTCATGCCACTTAAGTGCCAGTCAATTTCCACATCCAACAAGAGAGAATTTCACCATCTGCCCATTTCTCCTTGACAGTTAATGGCATGCCATCACTGAATCCCCTACCATCAGCATCTGGGGGTTAACTTGTATCAGAAACTGAACTGAATCAGCCACATAAATACCATGGACACAGGAGATGGTCAGAACCTTGGTGATCTGCAGTGAGTAATTCAACTTCTGACTCCCCATAGCCATGTCCACCATCTAAAACTCTAAAGGTAAGAGTGTGAATACTTTCACTTTCCTGGATGGCTTTCAATCCAACAACACTCAAAGCTCAACACAATCCAAGAAAAAGCACCTTATTTAACACCTCATTTACCATCTTGAATATTCACGACCTTCACCATTGGATACATACAGGCAGCTCCGAGTATAGAGCATAGTATTGGAAGATGTCAAGGTTTTCTGGGTTCAAAACTGCTCCTGTGAGACAATAGCTTATACCCAATAATTTTATTCAGCTTGATCACTAAATGGTCAACCTTTCAAGAGGATGTGCATCATCTTATTGGTCAGCAAATCCATGTGATTTAAATTCTTAACTTGGTGATGCACCTGTGTATATTTACCCAGTTCCTACATAACAAAATTAAAAGTGGGATGGACTTTCCCTGTATCTAATGCAAATTGACTGGTGGTCGAAATGGGAGATGACCACGTGCAGGCAAATGGGATTAGTTTGGAATGGCATCATGGTCAGTGTAGACATAATGGGCCAGAATGGGGAGATCCCAAGACACAGCCCTATTTGTATTCAGGCACAGCAGCAGCCTTCTTACAACCTCATCACACTGTGAATTTTTGGAAAATCTGTTTGTGGGATATGGGCATCGCTGGCTGGGCCAACATTTATTCCCCATCCATAGTTGTTCTTGAGAAGGTGATGATGAGCTGCCTTCTCGAACTGCTGTAGTCGATTGATGCAAGTATCCCCACAATGCCTTTAGGGAAGCAGTTGAAGGATTTTGTGCCAGTGACACTGTAGGAATGAGCGATTTACTTCCAAGTCAGGATGCAGAGAGTCTTGGAGGGGAACATGCAGGTGTTGGTGCTCCAAGGATGAAAGGGATAAAATATTGCTTGTGACCAAAGCAGAGCTGGAAAATATTGAAAGAAAAGGTTTCACGTTTACCACTGCACCATTAGTATTTAAAATCAGCAATGGGACCAAACGCCCAATGGAGACAATATGAACATATCTCGCACAATACACTTAAAGAAGCTGCATCAACTCCGTTAGTTATGCAAAGACACAAATGCTTTAACACAGATTTCTTTTTAAAGAAATCTACCCACTTAAGTATAACCAGAAAAGCAGAACATAAAATTGCACAGTAGATCATGAAGCAAGAAGCAAATGTGCTGCTACTCAGGGGGAAATATTAGTGACGTCATGCAACAGTAGCATGTGCCAAAGAAAAGATATCAAGGCACACCTCCCTAATAGATACCATACAGTCAAAGCTTCCATGATGACCAACTACATGGGCACCCTATTCCCATCAACGCTGAATTTGACAGCCCTTTGCATTTTGTTTAGCCTCCTGTTTTCTTCAAACAACCTCCTGTGTTTTTCGAAGCAGCTTAGATCTTTCCTCAATGGCTAATAGGAAGAAAAGGGTGGTAACATTCAAATGTGGATAAATCATCAATCTTGCTTCGAAATGCATTTGCAGCAGGGTCTGATGGTTACGGTCAGGAGAACAGAGGTTATTTGGAATACAAGAACAGCAGTGGGCCATTCAGCCACTTGAGCCTATTCCACTGGATGGGATGCTCTTCCGAGGGTCGGTGTGGACACAATTGGCCAAATGGCTTGCTTCCACACTGTAGGGATTCTATGAAACATTTGTTCTCTTTTTCTGTACTAAACCCTAGTTGAGAAGAGCAAAATAAAATGCTAGCTCAGTTCCCTCTTCCTCTTGTGGCCCAGCCAACCCAACTCTAGACTAGCCAGTAGTAAAATGTTTCTTCAAGCCCCCACCTCTAGTTTGAACATGGTGAAATACAGAATTGAATTTAGCATTTCCTCACTTAATTGGTGAGATGGCAGGGGGATCAAACTCAAATGAATCCATGCTAGTCATAGGAAATTGAAGCAGAATTAGGCTGGTTGACCCATCAATCCTGCTGCACCATTAAATTCAATCGTGGCTGATCTTATGCCCTGAGGTCATTTTCCCACATTATTCTCATAATCCTTTGATATTTTTACTATTTAGGCAGTAGAACACCTGCAATTCACTGCATTGGTTGACAGTTTTTTCTTTTCAGAATTGATATTTTCTGGAATGACAGTTCACCAAACTTCAAACCATTTATCACTCACCCTGCTCGCCTCAATCTCCACATTCCACTTTGGTCTAACAACATAATCACGGTTTGATGGTAATGGCACTCTGGCTCGTGCACAGAATCCTGGGTCACCAGGTCTTAGTGCTCTGAAATGCAAAGATAAATATGCATTGTATGCTTGAAGATCAGATCCAATGTATGCAGATTAAGTCCTAGTCATTTGTATGACCCCCACTCCCTACCTTTCTGATTCCTATTGTTTAAAAAGGAACATTTGCTAAGGAAGTGATGAATGAACAGTTCTCAGAAAATCCTGGTTTTATATGCAATTATTTAAATTATCAGTGATTATCATTTGTCCAGTTTCCTCCTTCAATCAAACTGCTTAACACTTACTTTTCCTCTCCTGTTAACACTTTCTCCAGGTCTCGGCGAGGAGTCTGCCCACCAGAACTAAGGAAAGACAAAACCAATGTTATTTCATTCCTCGCACAATTTACAGAAAGATAGGGGCAGCACTTGGATAAATGCACTGACCTGAGATTGCTTATCAAGGGAAAACAACACAAACTAACAGGCCTCTTTTCCTCCTTTCTGAATATCTACCAATTCAAGCTTTGTTATTTAGCGAAGCTGTGCACTCAGCCATCTTCTACAGAAAGACTAGAGTCAGGAGTAACGTACAAGAACGTTACTTTTCAGGTATCATTATTAAAAATTCTGGGTAAATGATGACTGGCCAAGGAAAAAATTCATGCTTCTACTTTCTGATCTCTGAATTAATAGTTTCTTTACCATAAAATATTCTGCTTATTCAAAATTAGTGATTCTATTCTAATTGCTTGACCTCCTACACATACAGTTTCATACTTGATGTATTTGATCGATTTAATGCACAAAATGCATCTATCCTTTAGAAAGGACAAAGTTCAAAGCATCTCCACACAATGAACTTTCAGCTAACTAGGAGTTGACATTTCCGTGTCACTTAACTAGCACGGAGAGCAGGAGAGAATAAACTCGTATCAGTATAGTATGTGTGACATCCACAGGATGTTCCAAAGTGCTTTACAGCCAAGTTAGTACTTTTGAAGCACAATGCAATTAGTGCACAGCAAGATCCATCATAAATTAATATATGACCAGTTAATCTGTTCATGGTGGTCTTAGTTGAGTGAACAATGTTGGTGAAGAAAATAGCCCTATTACTCTACGGAATCTTTTGTAACAACCTGAAAGATATTATCATGGAGTCTATGTCACAGAATAAAGGATTGGCCAATGAGGATTGAGAGGAGAAATTTCTTCATTCAAAAGGTGTGAATCTTTGTAATTCTCCACCCTAGAGTTGTGGATCTTGTTGTTGAGAACATTCAACATAGATTTTTGGAAGACAAAGGATAAGGGGATAGTGCAGGAAGGCAGAGTTGAGGTAGAAAATTAGTCAGGATGAATGGTGCAGAAAGCTCGAAGGGTCAAGCGGTTTGCACCAACTCCTTTTTTCTCAGTTCGTATTGCTCTTTGAAAATGCAGAAACTCCTTTTTACTGTACAGTGCTGAAGTATCAGTCTAGATTATGTGACTTGAACAGATGATTTTCTAATTTAGGGTTAAAGGGAGTTACCTACAGAGCCAAGCAGACATGAAATTCATCAGAAAGTCACTCAATTCTCATTTACTTAGTTTTGATGCTTATTGGCAGCCACTTCAGAAACTCGCCTGCCTAGCCACCTTGTGGTCAATGGTACATGATGAATGTGAAGAAATGGGGAGAAATCACTTCTATGTGGCTGAAGTTGAGTCTTCAAACAAACAAACACACTATCCCCCACACCTGCAGCTACACAGTAATGGATGCACATGCCCCCTGTTCTATTCTTGGATTAATTAGTCTTAATAAAGAATTCAAATCGACCTCTTCGATTTTCTATTTAAAGCCAAAAGATGATGTTTAACAGTGCGTCATACAGATGTGCTATATCACAGTCAAAAAAAATCATTCATGATTCCTTCTTGAATTACCAGCTTGCTCCCCAAAACAACAGTATTCCGTTCTAAAATAGGGTTTTACCAAGTACCTGAAGTTGGATTTAGTGACATTACAACAACTTTAGGGAACTGATAAAATATCCCCAAACAAGTATCTTGTTATCAATCCATAATCAAGAAAGTAATTTTCTGGCCAGGCAGATTTCACAGCTTCATCAGTTTCAGAGCAATTTTACACAGCTTGATTTCAGAGTGACCTGAAGCCAGGCCAATTTCGATGGAAGAATTCAGATTGCGTGTTCAAGTAAGACCAGTGAAGCTGAACCAGTGGCTACCTAGGGAAGCTTCGTTCCCCAAACATTCAAACATAGGGAACAGCCGTACAGGAAACTTTAAACAATCTTTATTGTTCAGTATTGAAATAAATGAAAAAATAAAACAAAAAAAAAAGCAAAAATCATTGAATCGAAAACCTGTAGTCGCGTCCTTGATCTGAAGAGATGACATCAGCTGCATTATCGTCGCTGTCTTCATCCCTAGGGTCTCTTTATAAATGAATGAAGCAGAGTTTAGGGCAGGTGTTGTGGACAGCCATGTTGCGAGCTGACGAATAGATTATAGGTGTTGTGGGAACTCCGCAACATGACCATTTATACAGAAAAATAAAGATAACGTAAAGCCTAATGGAGAAATAAAATCTCAAACAGAAACTCAAGTGACAGAAACAGAGTGCACAAAGTGACAGAAACTCCATAAAACTGGGAGAGCCACAGTGGATGAAAGGAAAAGTGTGGAAATGATGTGTGTACATTTTGAAGTCTGGACTTGTCCCATCCAGTACTCCTGTGGGATTAATGGGCTCTTCAGAACTCTTCTATCTGGTTGCGAATGGGAACTCTCAACCCATTTTAACAAACAAATCAGTGGTCATATTCTCAGAAAACGAACTGGCAAAAACTTCAGTCTTTAAAATGTAATACTATCAATAGAGAGACAAATGATCACACATTTTCCAATGATACAGACAGATTACTGTGCTCCCCATTCACACTTGCCCAACACCAGTATCCCTGTGCAGCATGCTTCCCTTAATTTGTGAAGGGATTTTTGGAGCTAACAGTGAACATTTAAGAGGCAGGCCTGACAATAAATCCAAAAAATGCTGTTTATAAATAGGCATGTGAACATGTGTAATAAAATAAATATGATAATCAGACTAATCACCCAGGCTTCAGCATTTCAACTGAAACCATAACCAAGAAAGTGATTTCTACCTACCAAGGTAAAATCTGGCAAAACGTTGCACTGTCCTGCAGCAGAACTTCCAACAGATTTAGTGCAATGTCAGAAAATACTGGGTTACATATAATGCATAAAGCCTTCGCGATTCTTGGAAAGACATTCAACTTCCACATATTAATAATATTGCTGACGTGGAGGAGGAGGGAAATATGAGGCAGTGTCTACACTGGTGAGTAGGGAGGATCATGCAAGGAAAAGTCCTTGATCTGAGGGATCACTGGCAGGTAACACATAGCTTTTATGAAATTGCTAGTATAACAATTTCTGCAGTTCAGGGTGTTATTATTGGAACATCCTCGACAAAAACTGAATCAATGTGGTTAATTACACTAGAAAGAGAGTAAGGTCAAACAGAGACCCATCTTCTGATATGAACAGAACCCCAAACTAAGACAGGTTCTGAATAATCTGATTCATTTAACTATTAAGAATTACAGTATCTCACTCACAATCTTTGAACATTTGTTCAACGCAATATATAGAGGGGGAGTGAGACAGAAGGGTGAGTATCAGACTGGTCTAGCAATTAGCTAGCACCAAATGACCTCCTTCAGCTTTTAACTTCTATGGCTGCTGTACATTTTGGTGTTCATGAAATAGACGATAAAGCTTCTTAGTTGGAAAGGTTTTCTCCACCTGAACATTCAGTAATTGAAAATGAGGATGTACAGTGACTAACTCATAGGGAAGGCCAATGAAATGTTTCTCTGTTGTGAGAGAAGTGCAAATACGAGTAGTAAACAGGGGTTGTTGCAGAATGGGAAAGGCCACTAGACCAACTGTTGAGGATAATTTTTCCTCCAGGTGATGGCAGCACTTTCCATTTTTATGTTGATCCTGAAGAAGTGAGAAAGCTTATTATATAATGAGCCAACAATTAAAAGGCAATTCGCCATAGTGAGAACCCATTCTGAGAGAGCCACGGCCATCACGCAAAGCCAGCACAAGTCTGAGATGGGCTCTCCATCTGTAATTCAGTGACTTGTACATTTTTAAGCTTTAAACACCAATAACCATTTAGTAATGCTTCAGCAAATGCTTGCAATACAACTTGAATCAGCTTCTCTTGTAATATTCGCTACCAGACAACTGAACATTGTATTGGTTTTGTCCATGAAGTCCCCAACCTGCAGTTAGCTGCATTATAAATTTAAACAGGAAAATTGAGTTCTAATTACTTTATAATGGAAGTAGATGTGAAATATATCAGTACTCAATACAGTTCAATAGGGATGAACTGATATTTGCAAATCAATAACAAGGATATGACCCCTGAAAATTCTTTCATTAGTATGTTATAAGAGCCAAGTTTAGATCCCTTTACACTGATAACACTCAGTAAAACATCAGTTTGCGTGATGTGCCCTAACAGACCATGCACTCTTGCTGCAATGGAATCAGTGCATCAGAATATAGATCACAGAAGTGAACTGAAGTCATTCACTGAAGTGCACTGAAGTCATTCACTGAAGTGCAATACACAGACTTTTTTTTAAAAGGTGCACCGCCTGAATAAAGTAATACCCGGTAGCATGTGAATGACCTTTAGGTTAAGTAGCACACACCAACAAGAGAAACTGGAAAATCAACATCATGAACTGTAGACCATAACACTATCACTGTCCTGTTATCTGTACTTCAGATGATACTCCATCTCATTTGAATCTGCTGAATTCACCAACTGCTTTATGCATTTGTTCATATTGTAATCAGTTTTGGAAAGTAGTGGAAGACATTTAATCTACAGTAAGGTATTGTTCACTTGTGACATTGGGCTTTATGGCCACAAACTAGGTGCTGCCCCCAGCCTAAGCATGATGGTATCAGGTTGGCAATCTCACATCATCACCCCGTTCTCCAATATTATGGAAAACCAGCAGGCATGGAAACTGCAAGCCTGCTGGTCATTTTGAAATAGCTTGTTCAATCAGTTATTGGGCTTGTTTGAGAGTCAAGTGGTCGCAATTTCTTTTCTACATACTCCATTTTTCAGATGTCAGTTGCAAAAAAATTTGGAAAGCTTTACACCAGGTGTGAGAAAGCAGTACAAGAACCAAAGTTAATGAGACCATTAACTTCCTGTGTGTCTGTGGCTGCATACAGCAGTAGAGTCAGCTGATAATGGCCTGTATATGCTTTGGTTTCATTTATTCACTGTTTTGTGCCTGCCACAAGAATTAAGGAGAGATTGAAGGGGTATTGAGCTGTTACATTGATAGCCGTAACCTTCTTCCTGTTCACAGCATACGTGCACTCCCACCTGTTGTTCCAGCTAAATACCCAATTGAAGCCCCTCTGGATTGTTAATTAGCTTTCTTGGCCCAGGGCAGTTGCTAATTGATCATGAGGGGATAGTAGGAACTGCCGATGCTGGAATCTGAGATAACAAGGTGTAGAGCTGGATGAACACAGCAGGCCAGGCAGCATCAGAGGAGCAGGAAAGCTGAAGTTTCGGGTCTGGACCCTTCTTCAGAAAAGGATCCAGACCCGAAATGTCAGCTTTCCTGCTCCTCCAATGATGCCTGGCCTGCTGTGTTCATCCAGCTCTACACCTTGTTATCTACTAATTGATCATGATGTTTGATTCGCTGTTCTGACAGAATGATGGTGGGAGTGAATGGACTACTCACTTCAGCCCTGCTTCTCTCAACCTGTCAAAACCGTAAAATCCAGCCGTCTCTCCCCAAAAACCTCTCCAACAGTGAATACAATTTCCAATTTAGCAAGTGCAATTTAAAAAAATCAATTTCTTTTGGTTGAATTCAACATTTTCCAGAAAGGGACTGAAGACAGAATGAGGAATTCTCAAATTCAGTTGATCTTCAATTAGTCAAAAAGAAATTACAAGATCAGACTTGACAGGGGCATGGTCTACTCTTTGAGCCTATCTCTAGTGCTACAACTTTAACACTGTGCTTCTATTGTCAAGTACCTGCTCAGGCGCCGCCGCATTGGCATCTGGTCAAGGTCTCTTTGCTCTCGTTCCTCCCGGGTCATACCTTTGTAATTTGATGTCAGGCCAAAGATTGGTCTTGACCACTCATCTGAGTTAAAAACAAAGAAAGTACTATAATACCAATCAAAACACCCAGCAAGACTTAATTCCATCTTTCAGTAGGATTCTACTGCTACTACTACATGTATTGACGAAACTAATATCCTCAGCAATCTCCCCCAACCTACTCAGCCAGAGGGTGAACTTAAGTTGTCTAAATTTGTCACAGCATCCCTAAGCTACCGCCCTGGATGAAGAAATAAGCCAAGACTTCACTTTTGATTCTTTGCCTGTGATGCCTGCTGGCCAATATATATTGACACAGTGAGGACAATCCAGGCTGTACTGTGATAATACATCTGATCAGATAGCCTGCTTGCACTCAGTTTGTACTGGTATATAACAGTGGGAAGCAACCATGGGTGTGCGTTACACGTCAGCGACCTCCACAGACTATTTCGGAACGGTCTTTCCTTCAAGTGATACTTTGAATGCTGACGCCAGTGTTGGGACCCATGTAACAGTTTTATGGCATCCCTTCAGCTTCAGCAACTAGACAGTCCCGATACATCTGTTCCACACAAAATCCAAAATGGAAAATCCACTGCATCAATATATGCATAGAAAATGTACAAATCCACAGCGTCTTTCTGGATTATCTCTCTCCAGTGCATCAATGTCTCACGGAGACAGCATTTACTGGAATGATTTCTTAGTCACACAAGGTTAACCAGTGATGTCCAGAGTATTGGAATAAAGGGCATGAGTGCAAGCCATCAAGAGATAAAATAAAGAAAACAAAATTCATGAGGAAAGTACAGATTCAGTAAAAGTGAACATACTGATAAGCTTTCCAGCCAGTTCCTTGTTGCTCCTGTTCTCCTTTGGATGCTTATACAAGTACATCACACAACGTCCAATCCCACTATGTTTCAGAGTCTCCTGACTCACACTGGGCAACTGTAATGGTACATTAATCAATGACAATTGAAAGTTCCAAGGAAAGGTAGCATAGCAACACAGCTAACAACTTGGCAAGAATGAATAGTAAAGCCACCAGAGTGTTTTGGTGGAATGCAAAGTACTGATGTGGAGGTTTGATGAGAACAAAATGGTATACAGCAGTATTGTGGTTGTGCCACTAGACTCGTAATCCAGATGCCTGGACCACTGATCTGAGACATAAGCTCAAATCTAACCATGGCAACTGGGGCATTTAAATGCAAGTTGTTATAGAAAACAATATGTAATAAAACCCCTTCCATCAATTGTCGTGCCCATGGAATTGTTGGACAGACATGAAAATTCATCTGGTTCTCCAACTCTCTTTAGGAAAGAAATTTTTACTGGCCTACATTGACGGTGAACCCACAACAATCTGAATACCTTGTTACTACTCTCTGAAACTGTCTGACAAGGCTCTGTAACTATTTAAGAGTATTTAGGGATAATAATTACTGGCCTTAACATGTCCATAATTTCCTATTTTTCTCTTAGGTTCCTTAAACTTAACTGGTCTAATTCATAAACACTGTGGCTACAAGAGCAGGCCAGAGAATGGATAAGCCTATCTCCCTAGCGGCCTTTCCATATCGGAGAGGCACAAATTAAGATTATGATGAAATACTTCCCACTTGCCTGGATGAACATGGCTCCAACATCAATTCAGAAGCTGGCACATTCATTTAAACATTCACCCATCTACCATAGGCACACCATTGCTGCAGCATGTACCATCTACAAGATACATTGTAGCAGCTGACTAAGTGTTCAATAGCACCTCCCAAACCTGTGAACACTATCATTTAAAAAAGCAAGAACAGCATACACACAAAAACAACACCACCTGCAAGTTCCCCTTAAAGCCAGGTTGGAAAAGTATGAACGGTTCTTTATTCTGAGTGGGTAAAATCCTCAACCTCACTTCCTAACAACACTGGAACATATGGATTGCAGAGATAGTAGGAACTGCAGATGCTGGAGAATCTGAGATAACAAGGTGTAAAGCTGGATGAATACAGCAGGCCACGCAGCATCAGAGGAGCAGGAAGGCTGACGTTTCGGGCCTAGACCCTTCTTCAGAAATCTTTCAGAAAGCTTTTCTGAAG